TAGGAATGAATAGTCGAAGGAGTAAGAATGACCTTGGGGGTGATCCGATGGCCCCCCACCCTGATGGAGAAGGTAAAGCGAAGTTTGAAAGGGGAGGACGAGATGGTGACGTGGACGATGGATGGTGGGACACGTGAGCTCGTGTCTGCGGGAAAAAGTTGGCTTGTTTGGGGATGCTAACGTGCGCCGGGGGTGCAGGTTCAGGGCAATTTCCCGCTTAAAAAGTACAAAGGCGAAGTGCGATTAGAAAACACCTGAATTTCGGCTTAATGCATGCATCATATGATGATTATGAGCCTATATTCAGGACTAATAACATTTGTAATCTTCGTTCACCTCATTCTTTTTTTTTTTTTTTTTATAAAACGGTAGGATTATATTATTGTTGCGAACAAAAATAATTACAAACGAACAAAAACCGAATACATACATTATTCTGTCGTCACTACAATAGTAGATTGGGATTAACCCATTCCACGTCTTGATAAAAGGATTGAGCACTAAGACGACTACGGCGGATACAAAGATCATTATTACTTTGCACTATTTTTGGGTAAAAGGTGCATTTGTAAAATAAGTTTTACTCAACTCTTGGGATGTCTTCTTGTATCACAGTTGTTATCCAAACATCCAATGATTTTTTCCGTTGGATCACACTTCATTCACCTTATTCACTTTGTTTTGTTCTGCTCCTTACCATTGTGCAATTTTTATTTTTATTTATACTTTTTTTTTTGTTGGAATCATGGAATTCTAGGCATGGTATTCTTTTTTGTCCCATTATCTCACGTAACTTTTCTGAAGTGAATTTATTATTTTTTTTTCTTTTAACTATTAAATCGACGTCTCCTCAAAAAAGTGAATTGAGAAACTGTCTAGTATGAATTACTAATATTTTTTAGAAATTTTTGTAGAAAAAATATACTGTAGTGTTTTTACATTTGCCAGATAAACTGATGATTGAAAAATGTGTTTGTGAAAAACGTAAAAATTAATTCATGTACCAATTTTGAAATTTCAATTTCCTGAAATACAATTTCTCGATGAAAGTAATACTCCACAATCTATTGGTGTGGTAGGAAGAGATGATATGCTTGATTGATTGATCCTTAATTAACAATCAAGTGCTCCCTATTAACGTGATGTGCAAATCGGATAGTTTAGTTGGTTTGGTTCTGTGGTTGGAATTTTTTTAAAGGAAGAAAACGAAAGGAGATGGCATGGAATCATTGAGAAATATAATACACAACTGGTACTTACTAAAACACCATTCAGTTCAGGTATTCTTATATTATATGTTTTTTTTAAGGTATTCTTGTCCCACGGGCGTCGCCACTTAAGAGTCTACTCTAAAAATCATTTGTCTGCATTTAGACCTAAAAAAAATTGACTATTGGCCTTTAGACAAAATAATTGTGTGGTAAAATTGTTAGAAACCTATCATTTTCTTTTTGTCTCGACAATTCGTACATCTGAAAGAAACCAAAGCCCCAAAAATTCGAAGCTTTAAACAAAATGAGTTAGTAAATCATTAAACCAAATTTGGAGGCATTATTGTCATGCACCCCTATTAGTTAGCAGCATTCGTTGTTGCTGGGAATTAGTAGGACTGGATTTTTTAATCAAGGAGTTCTTTTTTTTTTTTTTTTAAATTTTATATGACCAATATGAAGTGGATCTGATATTCTCGTGCGGATTGTTTTTATTCTTTCAATCACTTTTTTATCTCATATACATCATGAAATTATTAAAGTACATTATTCTATATAAAAAAAAACTCATAAAAATTGCAATTCCAACCGGCTAATTTTTTTTTTCTTCTCAAAATTTCTCAAATTTGAGAGCGGATGAATGTTTAACACCTCTCGTATTTTTTATACTTTTATCTTTAAAAATCCTTAAAAAATGTTAAAGACATTGGAGTGTGTTTGCACAAAAAAATTACTATTTGAAATAAATATTCAAATAAAATATTGTAGTAACATTTTTTTCTAATGTAATATATATATATAATAAAAAAATATATTAACGATACAAATAAATAAATAGTACTAATTTTGTGTAAATAATCCACTTATGAATGAGAGAGAGGGAGAGAATCCAACAAAGGACTATTGAATTACAGGACGAGGAGATGAGGAGGGGAGGAAGACTTTCCCGGAAACCGAAGAAGAAAAAAAAAAAAAAAGCAAAAGGTTAGGCGGGGACTGAAAAGCCGGGGAAAGTGGTGGGGTTGGAGGGAGTGGCCCAACCCTCACTGACCACCACCACCGCATCCCACATGGTTGTAGTCAGATAAAGTAAAGACATTGCCGGCCTTCAAAAGCAGACATTGCCCTATGCATTGCCGGCCTCTAGAGTCTAGTGCATACATTTCTGTAGACTTGTGGATGTAGGGTTGTTGCTTGATCTTTTAGGATAATATCCCGCTGTTTGGAAATCATCATCATATCATTATCATTATTATTATTTTTTTATTATTTCAACAAAATCATTTCTATTGTCTTTTTCATTACCTTCTTTTTTTTTTATCTTATACATACTACATGATATGTCATAAAGAAAAAATGCCACCATATTATGTAATAGTAGAAAATTTTGTTTCGTTGAATAATCCGAACAATTTAGAACATAGAGCTCAAGTCAAGTGTAAAAAAAAAAAAAGCTCACAAAGTCTACAAGATTCGGGTTTGTTTGGATAGTGTATTATTTGAAATATTATTTGAAATAATTACTGTAGCACTTTTGTAATGTGATGTATGTAAGATTAAAAGGTGATTGGGAATATAAAAAGGTAAGTTGGAAAATGTGTTTATGATGCAAGCAAAATATTATTTGAGATAGTGTAGGTATCCAAACACTAATTTTCATAATAATGACGCTACTGAAATACACAATGCTCAAGTCATGCTCAAGTTAAAGCTTAATTTAAAAAAAAAAAAAAAAACTTGACCAAGAATCAAGGGATATTTCGAAATTTAACCGGTTTAGCATGCGACAACTTGGAAGTTAAAATATATATATATATATATATATATATATATATATATATATACAAGTAATAATTTAGAAGATCAAAATGTCGTATATCTCGATCAAGAATAGGATTATGAGATTGGATCTCTCACATGCAAAGGACTAGAGAAAGTGGGATTCATGCTCCGAGTGACAAAAGTAGCGAAACAAGAATTCTTTAAGGAGACAAGAATGGTATCTCTAGGAAGGAAGGAAGTGTTAGAGATAAGGCTCTGTCGCAGAGGATGCTGGAATAGTGCATGCAATGGAATGGAATGAGCAACTGAGTCAGGCATGCGCATATCATATGCGTGTCCTGTAACTAAAGCTGCTCCTCCATTTAGATTCTTTGGATCCAGTGAAGTGAAAGACTTTAATACTAGTACGGTACTTCCCCTTATTGTTCCACTCCAGAGATTGTGGTGTTATTTATTACTGCTGTTTTCCATGTTTGAGTATCCGTTGGTTTCAGATTGTTCCTCGCTGGCAGTGGCAGGTTATTATTATTTGTTACTTTTTTTTCTTTTTTTTTATCGACACGATGGACCTATAATTATTCTATGTTAAGGGGAGGGAATGACCTGAAGGGATCAAGAGAAAATCGAAGGAGACTAAATCACTTACCCACTCAGACGACTGGAAGCCACTTGAATTGGCCTGCCACATTTTTGTGGCCAACAGGATTTGATCCCCTGGCCTCCCACCCCACCAACTTTGGTGGTGGTGGTGGTGGTTTATTATTATTTTGTTACATGTAAAACCATAATTCATTCTGCCCGGAACACAACCATGCAAATTCCTCTACTAAGACTAAAGGATTCCAGGCCCTGTGGTTCGATCAAAATGGTCAAGTCATCATGTTTTTACCTCAATAACGAGTACGAAGAATTAATAAGACAGCGAGTCACACCCGAACATCCATCCCTTCAAGTTTAAGATTCTACAGTAATTTTCAAAAAGCCGACAAGATGCTCCTTATCCAGTAATTAATAAGACAGTGATGACTCAAATGTGACGGAAAATTGAAACATCCATATAATGACAGCAAAGAAAAGTTTGCCCTACTCGCTCTGTCAAAACATTTCAAATGCAAAAGTTCAGGGAAAAAAAGACTTTCCGCGCCTCTGCTAACGCGCACCAAAAAGAAGATAACGACGACGACGGCAAAGAATAAGCTATTGCAACAGGATTTTTCCAAAGGGCATCTTCATGTTTTTCCAGAAGTGACTGCTGTATACATATGGATAAAGCCTAAAACATCTGATGGGATAAAAAAGTATACGTTTCACCTTCAAAGTCTATATCCATTTCACCAAACCAACCAACCGTACGAAAAGAAGAAAAAAAAAAAGACTAGCATTCATTTACCAAACCTACCAACCGTTGGGTTACGTTATACCGGAAGAAGCTGCATTTCTTTATGCATCTCCCACTTGTACCAGTTAACTATTAACAGTTTCAACCCCATGAAAAGGGCATCAATGCATCCTTCAATCAGAGCACCAGAAGCACCATTGCACAAAAATGAAGAAAAGAAATATCAGGTCTTATGGGCTTCGGATTCACCAAATTGGCATACACAGTAGTAGTAGTAGTATAAACCCATATGATCTTGCAGAACTAGCTCCTCACATATTGGCGATAGTGCACAATTCACAAGGAGATAACCGTGTCGCGAGACCAAACTTGCACCACTGCTTTCATTTCCCAACCGAAAAGATTGAACCTAAAGGACAGTGCTACCATAGGTCGAGGTGAAACGAGGAAGATTTTAAGACTACGAATACCAAATTCAAACAAAAGAAACAGGAAGTCAGACTTCCTGCATCAAAGCACTGAGAGCTGGGGCAGCCTAAAGAACAGTGCTACCACAGGCCGCGGTGGAGAGGAATCAAGGAGGATTTTAAGACTGCTAATACCAAATTCAAACAAAAGAAACAGGAAGCTAGGCTTCCTGCATCAAAGCAGTAAAGAGCTGCAGCAAATTTAGTCATGGGAATTCATCTTTAGCCGCTACTAACTGCATAATCAAATTCCACTACATTGCAGAACCTCAAAGCCCCTGTATGACTACACAATGATACCGCCACAGACAGAATCAGGGCAAAGATACAAGCAATCTAATTGATTAACATCTTTCTAAGTGATCTCGCTCCAAAGAAGTGGACATTAAACCTTCCCTGCCCAAAAAGTTGAACCAAGCAACCTTCATCATATTGCTTTTTCATACTTTTCTAGTAGGTGTGAGGTTAAATGAGCTCCAAATTTCATGAAGAAAATTAACGCTTCAAATATCATGAAGCAAAATTAACGATTCAAAATCAAACCAATATCTTGAATTGCCTGAATAATGCTACTTAGGAGGCATCCAGTCCCTCCTACTCTGAATCACACTTTTCTTCCTAGTATCGGGATCAAGTTTGTCCATGTCAGTAATAGTTGCCAAATAGCCATAAAAGATCCTCTTTTTTTCCCTTGTCATCTCATCCACCTTAACAAGGTTTGGATTACTATCATCATCGTCCTTGCCTAAATTCAACGACTCAATGTGGGCCCAACCATTTCGCCCACGCTTTTCTTTTTCAAAATATTCAGCCAGCTGCACAGCCTCCTTCAAACCTGACTGATCAGCACCAAACTTAATCAGGGTAATGCCCAGATGGCCATCTCTCGAGTACAAGGTCTTTGACTTGCCACCTTGAAATCCAAGATCTGAAAGCAAGATTTGAATATGCAGAATCAAATGTTAAAATCTCAATTTGCTTTTGTGAACATGTTCCAAAGACAGAAATTAAAGTCGCACACTCTCCCAATACACCAATCTGCCTCTGACCAACTATAGCTGCAACCATGCTTCAAATAAAGTTCCATTATTTGTTAAACCCCATAAAAGAAAACTGTAGCAAATCAGGAAGATGTAACGTAAAACCAAAATAATACCAACTACATCAGAAAATTACACATGTTCTAGGTTTTTCCCATTTTCTTTGACTTCGACATCGCACTGAGCTATCAGCATTGGCAAACAGAAGTAGATAAAGGAGAGCTAATTCAGTACGTTAAACCTATTACACATTTCCAACATTTTCCTATGGAATGCAATATTAGCTTGATGACCAGCAGATACAACTAAAAGTATATCTATAGGAACGCAAGTTGACAAATTAACATCCTTAATTTTGATATTACCTTTCAGAAGCTATAGGTCCTTAGTTTCACATGAGAAGGGACAACATCTAAAGGCTGGCGTCTACCCAAAAGAAAAGAAGCAAAAGGTAGCACGCCTAAGAGAAGTGCAGTTAACAACTTTCTCTTACCTTTGAAAGTTGTTCTGAGAAGAAATTGATGAATATAAGAATCCTCCATCACAATCACCAAACAACTTCAGACAATGTCAGCTAACTTTATCATAAACACACTCCTGCCTATATTTTCAACCATTTCCATAGATGACCACTCAAGGACTTGACCATCAAGGCAGAGCTTAGAAATGCAAATTCAGTCCAAACATACCAAAACAATTTTATGCAATTTTGGAGATAGTACATTCCAAGCATAAAATCTTCTGAAACCTACTTCAACAAAAACCTACATAAATTCTTAACTGCTCATGTTTCTCTCCCTATTTATCAATATGAAATAAACATGCTCATATGCAACAACTCCACTACATGAGTTAGCTTCAGAACTAAAATGAAAGGTCTAACCAATGAAATGCACAATCTAGCATAGACTAGGAGAGCAACTCAGCAAATTACTATTAACATTCCAGAATGCCTTCACTATTGAAGTACAGAGAGCTCATGTGTAATGGCAGAAATGATAACTAGTGTCAGATTTGGTTTGAAGCGATAGGCTCTTCTAAGAAGTGGTTCCTTGTGTTACTAGCCGTTCCTAACAGTCCACTAGGTGTATATCCCAAGTTCCTTTCATCATTGACTATTGCTTTATCCTGGCACATTTTAATCCAATTAGTTGGTGTCCCTGAAAAACTAAATCAACTGTCTAGCATATTGTGGCAACCCTTGTAGTAGATGGCTACCAAACCAGAAAGGTATAACACAAAAAAGTGGTTCTAAAAGATCCCCAAAGACTAATATACAAAAACGCAAGTATACAGCAAGAACTGGCTAAAATCTCATATGAGCCTCTAAATAATGCGCTGCAAAGATGATATAAAGAAAGAAAGGTGCAATATATACCTCTGAGGTAATTATCCATTGCCCTGTTTCCCAAACCCTCTGTGCGACCTTCTCTACCTTTCCCTGTGTTTGTATTATGAATTATCACCAAGGGTGGCCAGATAATAAGATCACTTAAGTTTGCTGCTGCTTCCTCAGCAGACAGAAACTGATAAATCTTTGAGTTATCGGGAGGAGTCCTATAATTCCATCCCATGAGTATACAAAAAGCCTTGTGTAAGCCCAAGTGATCCACAATCAAGTTAGCATGATCTGAGCTGTAAACGTGCATAATGAGACCATGCATATCTGAAAAGTCTTTCGACCTGTATTTTTCACATGAAAGTTCTGCTTAATTCAGATAATGATATCAGAATCGTAACAGAGTTGGGAAGATTAATATGTGTTATTCGCTTGCAGAAGACCACCAAAATTACATGGGAAAGACAAGTTTGGATGTCCTAAAAGCTACACTCATTTCATTTTAACTTGTACACAAGGTTTGATCATTTCAATTGAGTAGAAACAGTGATGTCATATCCGTGGTTGTAACATCATTAATTTGCTAGTCTTGCATAAAGCAATCAGATGATTTCAACTTATTTCAAAGGCCACTAAATTGAGCATTTAGTGATGAAAATTTGAAGGTAAAATCTTTAATACATGATTCGTTACAACATAAGCATAGAGATTTATTAAGTAACTCTCAATAAGAATGTAAAAGAAAAGGAAAATGAAATATCAAACAGCAAAGATGACAACATCCGAACATATGGCCAGGCCTCATTGTTTCACTGCACAACCATGCATCTACTGAATATATAGCTGCAAACAAGGCCACAAACCTTTAACTTTATTGTGCCATAAAGCCTAACCATGAAAAGTAAACACATTAAGATGCCAATATTTAAAAATCCCCTACTTGTCGTTGTATTTGTCTTCCAATAGGATACCAGAAGCTAGAACTAACCTCAAGAAAATTCAAGCAGAAAAAAGCCACTTAATGAAAAACGTATTATTTCCTTTACACTTCTATCTTCCCATCTTACTCCTGGAAACCGTGGGCAAACCATACAAAATAGATAAACACGTGACTGCACCCAAAACATTCGTGAGGCACTTGCCATCAGGCTCCTGACACATCCTAAACTGCTGCCGATGGGATGCTAACTAAATAAATAATAGAATAAGCGAATATCATTTGACTTCTAATACATTTACAAAAGAATTGACGACAATTTGGAAAGAAATGCTGAGTCGAGCCCAAAATGCAGGCCAAGATTCAATCTCAAAATGCAAAGAGAAGTTACCCCTAAAAGTTTTTGTCATGCAAACATCTACCAGGAAAGCAATTAATGGACTATAATATGTACTACTACATGCCGAGGAGTACCATATGAAGTGGTCTATTATATTCAGAGTCATTAATGCAGTGGAATACAAAAGGATAGAAATGGAATAATATTAAAGAAATAACAAAAGGCAATCTGTCAGCTAAGTTCTCCAGATATTGATGGGAAAAAGGGAAAAGTATGGCTTTGACAATGGGCCTTTCTCCTTGTATGCCCACCGTGTTTACGAAGCAAGGTAGGCCAACTTTTTTTTAAAAATGGAAAAAGCCCACCAGCTTCATAAGCACGGCAGGCCAAAAAAATTTTTTTTTAATGAAATCTGACACCACTGTGTCCACTCTGTAATTTGTTTTTTAAACAAAATCTTGGACACAGCAGTGTGGTTTCGGAAAAAAAAAGGGGAAAAGTTGGCCAACTAGCAGTTGATCAGCAGCTAGTAGGCATTCTAAGCTCATTAATACTGCACACCCCACATTCCTTTCATCCATTCCGAAATCCCTCTCTCTCTCTCTCTCTCTTAAAATTCTTCACACATATAACATATTCTATCAACTCTCTCTCTCTAATCTCTTAATTTTCAGCCGACGCTCAAGCTCACTCACTCTCCCTCTCTCCCTCTCTCTCTCGGATGATGCGGTCCATTTACATAATTTAAGGTCACAAAAAAAAACTCACACTCTATCAAAACTAAGGGATTTTACTACAAAAAACTAACAAACCATGAATGTCGTGCTTTTTAATAATAACAACAACAACAACAACTTGAGCTTGCCATGCCCATTCAAAGGGGACCACACTGCCGTGTCCATTGTCAGATTTTGCTTTAAAAAAATAAATTACAGACACCATCGTGTCCATCAGGTTTCATTTAAAACAAAAAAAAAAGTTGGCCCGTTTGGAGAAATTAGTACAATGTATCAAGTCCGGCAAATATTCATCCAGAGCTCCAACAAATAGCAATGGATCTGAAAAATTACAGCTCTTATGAAGCCAGACTCCACAGTAATGTAATGAGATGCAGATGTAAAACTCATACAAGGCTGACTTCTTGAAAAGACAAAAAGTTGGCACACATCAACATCGAATGAGATCTAACCACGCGACAATCAATTAGGCGCAAGTGAGAAGGGCTTATAAGAAACAAATAACCATATCATGTCACTTAACATTCAAGGAGGAGCCATAAAAGTACTTCCTCACGAGTTTTCTCAATCAAGCAAAAGACTTAATCCTTATTGAATAAAGTCTTGCAAACCATAAATATAGATGACAGCCAACCATATGCTTGCAATTGTTCTAAAGAAGACCAATCAAGACTTCAAGATATCATGAATCCCCTGATGCAGGTATATACTCAAGGGCTTAAAAACTCCATAGGAGGCCCTAGTTAACTAAACTTCAAAGCCCCAACAAACCATCCACTATCAACTGTAGTTTAGTCAGACAGCTTATTTGAATACAGGAAGATAAACATACTAGGATAAACCAAGACAATATCTCTCTTCCCCGTGCCATAAAAAAAATCTCAAAAGGAACAATCTCACACTACAAAGAAAGTTACAGTAGAACATTCGCTGTATTTCATTGCCATTACTGGCACGAAGAACAAGAGCATGGATGCAAAAGTTCATTTTCATTGATGTCTGATATGTGCACCACATTCACTAACAATTTAACCATAGAAACCCTGCGAGGAAATAACATTTTCTCACAAAGAGCAATTCTAATGTCAAGATAATCCTGAAGTTAATATATGCAACCAAACATTTGTACAAACATGCAAACTGGAGCAACTAGGCTCCTAAAGCCATCAACCAGGATGGAAATGTGTAGTCACCAGAAAAAGAATCACACATAACAACCAAACTAACAAATCAATGCAGCAATTGATACATGAAAACCCATCTTCAGGCCAGCAATGTAAAAGTAGAAAGTGCTGGGAAGCTCTTAACTGAAATCTCTACCATTTCTTTTTAAAGTCAATTACCTAAAATACAACTGATCTAAAGCAAAACAAAGCTCCCCTTTGCCCCTAATCTAAAATCAAGTACCAAAATGCTAAATAAATGGGCATCATCAAAGTAAATCTTCTGTGATGATGGGTAAAACATGAAAACATTTGGGAAGCCCAAAAAAAAAAAGCAACTTCGTTGACATGTTCGAGGGGAAGTTCAACAGTTCAACTTGGAAAATAAAAGTCTGTTGCCCAGAAAATTCATAAAAACATATTTCAACAAGCTCCCATTTATAATTATTTCATTACAACCTAGCTCCATTACAACCTATAAGTGAGTCTATCATCAAACTTTTATTCACAAAGAACTGAAAGGAGTGTATTGATCTGGGGAATAATGTGTCCCATTGCATCCTTCTTTCTCCACCATCATGATCCATTATGGGACACAGTGTTATTTGAAGACAAATAAGACACTCAGTAGAGAATGAAAATACATAAAAGGTTTAATTTACATGAGGAGCTCAAAATATTAGACATCTCCACTAGATTACTAGATGATGACCCATTCAAGAAGTTTCTGCTATCACAGGCAGGGAAAAAAAATCCTTCTAGTCTTGACATTGATGCATTAACTCAAATAAAATGATAATAAATTGATTAAAAACACACTACTTCCACCAGGCTTAAATACTTAAAAAAAGGCCCAAAAACTACCTTCAGATGCAACAATCAAGAAAAAACTTAACTCTAGCCATTTAACATGGCAAAAACCACTCAATCTAGAGAGATCACTATCCACGTTGACCAACCCAAGCAACCAATCTTCATTTTCCCACAATACACAAATTGATCTGGGTATAGATGATTACCTTTGACTGAATTTGGAGAAGTCTAAAGCATTAGGTTAAGAAATACCACCATGATTGCTATATGCAGAAGCTGTGAAAAAAGATTTCAAAATGCCACAGGCAATCAAGAAAAAGAAGACACAAGGTTTTCAACACCCAGAAGTCTCCTAAACTCCTGAAACTGCCTCCATCAGCCTCAATGGACAACTAACAAGAAAAGCTTGGTCAACTATAGATACTATGACAGTTGGGCTAATAACCATCACCAAAGTCCTACTAATATTCAGATCAACCGCACCCTAATCTTTTCCTTCTCTATATTTTTGAATTATAGAATTAACAAGGCTCAAGAAAACATCACCTATTCAACTGGTGAATTGTAGGTTAACTCAAACACTTCAAACTGATGTTAATTTTATGAACTGCATCATTTCGCTTTTAAATGAACAAAATTAAAATGTTGTCGCTTGTGGTGGGGAAAAATAAAAACTGATATTCCCATTTACAGAAAAACACGCTAGCACATATAAAACACACATCCAATTACCACAAAATACCTATGCATGAGTATCAGAGATCAGCAATTGCTATGAGACGAAACTTCCCAAGTTAAACTCAAGGAAGAAGCTCATGGACAATATCTTTTGAAGATACTAATTGATTGCTATGATACGCTGGATTTTATGAAAAAGGTATGAATGTTAGTCAACCTAAACACTGAGCCCTGATTTCGTTCATAAACACCAAGGGTAAAAAACCGTCCATGCTAACATATTCTTCTTCTTCTGAATAGCCACCATTATAATCATGAAGAGACCTTAAGAAATGCAAACTACAAAAGTACAAAGATTGATGATATCAAATCCAACTCATGGCTGCTCCATGTTCAAGGAAATTTTCCTCTGACATTTTACATGCTAGCATGTGCAATAAATTTGAACAATAAATTTGAATTCCTCATCCACCAACAACTACTCGGGGTAATTAAAGAACCTCCTAATGACAAAATACATTGTCCAAAGACCATCTCTGTACACAACAAAAAGAACTAAAAAAGTGTTTTTATCTCAATGTCCTAAAACCCTAGCAGCATGAAGCAATTAAAACCTGCAGTTTAGCTAGCATACACAATTTAGTCAGTTATACAACCATAGAGTTCAAAACAGTATCAGTGAAAACAAAACCAGAAATAACCTAGATATTGAAAATAGAAAAAAGATCCTAATGGCAAACCTTTTACAAGCAATACACTTCAAAGAACCTTGCTTTCCATCTGCCAAGTACTTCTTCTTCTGATTTGGATCATCATAAATAATCTTCACAAAATGCAAAAACGCTTTCTTTAACGCAACTTGATCAATCCCATTATGCTTAAGTTTACCTACATTAACTTCATCGGTCCTCATATACTTCGCAGCCCTCATTTCCACCCCTTTTCCCATATACCCTCTACTTGCCCCCGGCATCCCACCTAAGTTTCCATCCGCCTTCCCATACTGCAAAAGCTGTTGCCTTTGCCTCTCAAAACCATCTCTCCCTTCTCTTTCCTCATCTCCAAACTTTCTCTTAGTCAAGTTACCGGGCCCAATTCCTGGCCGGGGCCCTTCAACCATTCCAGGTCCATTTCCCCGCCCCTCAAAACCCAAAGTTCTATGCTCCTGGCTCCAACTCCTCATGAACCCATCACCCCTTCCACCCACTTCAGGCCGAAATTCAGGCCCACGAAAATCCGGGCTCATCGGGATTTTCCTATCAAACGTGATACCCGGCCCTCGGAATTCGCGCGGATGTGGCAATGAAGTAAAATCCTGATAATCCGGGGGTAAAGCCAAATAAGACCGGACGGAGCCGTCGGCCAAGACAATAGTTCGGCGGTCCAGCAAGTGGTATCCATAAGCAGGTGGTGGAGGTGGGTCCAGGAAAGGGAAAGGGGGAAGCTTGGAGTGCCGATTCTGGTCGGGATTGGGAGATGGGTAAGAGGGTTTTGGAGATGGTTTATTGGTGTAATTATTTGGTTTGGGTTTCGGGGTTGGGGGTTTGGGATTATTTGAGCTGGGTTTTGGTTTACCGGGTTCGGAGGTGGAGGGTTTTTTATTAGAGGGAGTGGTGGTGGCGGAGGATTCCCTGTGGGATTTGTTGCGGTGGGATGAGGCTGGTGGACGATTGGGTGGCTTGTTTGAAGGTTGTTTCGGAGGGTTTCCTCCGGCCATGCTCACGGGGGAAGCTAGAAAAGCTGGTTAGAAGACAGCCGGAATTTGATACTGCGCGTGTTCGTGTGCCTGAAGGGGCTTATGCATTGAAGTATATTGTGGAAGAAAGTACACGTGGGTACATTTTCAGAACCGCAGATTCCGGTTTAAGGACCCCCGATTTTGGTCATTCTAAAGGATAGAACTTGAACCGGGCCTCATATAGAGACAGCTATGATAGTGAAGGGGAAAAAAAAAACCTTTATTGTTTTGTCAAGTCCAAGAAAAAAAAATGATGCAAAATTTATGAAAAAAAATCTTATTACTGATTAAATTAGATAGGTGTTGGATTTATTTTAGCTACAAGATATAAATTTATTAATGAAATGAAACAATGAATTGTTGGATTATAATTGAAACTGTTAATATTTAAACGCTGTTTAATAATATTAAACTATAAATTAGATGAATAAATTTAGATGACAAATGATTGTTCAGACGATTTAAACAAGTCGAAATTACCAATTCCGGTTCAAATTTTGGATGAACATGAACTTTTGGTTACGATTCCAATCTTCAAAATCTGATTCCAATTCTAGTTCAGCAAAACTTGACGAACCGATTTCAATCCGGTTTCCAGTTCAAAGCTCAACCGTAGCCACCGCTAGAAGGAGGGGAAGACCATTGAGAACAAGAATACGAGGAGAGTAGACTTGCATGCGTAACAACTGTTCATTACAGGTCAAGCAATCCGCAAATTTCTGCTTTAATTGGTTTTCGTTTATGTGCATTAACCACAATATCTGGTGGATTATAAGAAGTCGCAAGACACAACCCAACATCGATATCCACATTAACCCTCAATTAGATTCTCAAACGTCTATTAACCAACCAAACGGAGTTGATTAGTTACAGGAGAATAAGAAATGTACTAATGCTCTTATTCAAAATTTCTAATTACTAAAGCTCTTACTCTTAATTTCTAATTTACTAATCATTGATGGCTGCATGTTTTCCACAGTCCAGGCTGAGCCCTCTAAACCCCCCTAGTAAGGCGAGGCACAGCTTTCTTCGGTGATGGAAGCACGCAACAAATGCCCACCGAGAGCAAATTCGGCCCGGGAAAAGAGCAGATCGTTTGTAATAACAATTGACAAGAGTGCAATCAGAAGGCCAGGCACTCGCAAATTTAGTTTCACCATGGAAGTCTCGAAGAACATCAGCTTCAGACGTTATCAATTCGAAAGAGCATCTTCACAATTTTGTGCAACAGAACAAAATGACCCCGCGTGGCACCAAAAGATTTTTCACCTTTAACATCAAATTCTCTAGATCATTCCTACCAAAACGAACAGATAACCTCCTCATATAAATCGTAGACCACCGGAGATAGCTTCAACCATATAGATAAAACTTCGTCACTACCGGAGATAGCTTCAATCATATAAACAAAACAATTTCACTACCAGAGATAGTTATCAACGCCCAAACGAGGCACCCTGCATAGATTCACCAACTTCTCAAACATCGATTGCATTATCTTTCACAAGCAAGAATTCTTGAGCCACAAAATTTTCTAAGTTCCATAATTTGTTACTCTATGGAAACACATAGTAAAGTTTAAGAACACGAAGTAAAAAAAAAAAAAATAATCATAACTCGACTGCAAGGTCCTAAAATAAAATATCCATGTTCAACGCTTCTTGGAGACACCAACAGTCTTGCCCCTTCTTCCTGTGGTCTTGGTATGCTGTCCACGCACCCGGAGACCCCAGTAATGTCGGAGACCACGGTGGTTCCTGGCATTCAAGAGTACATGCATCATCATCAGCACAATGCAAAAGCCCAACAGAGTTGAAAGAGCCAAACATGCACAGAGGTAACTCAGGTAACAAAATCTACTTAACAATATTTCAAGAAGCAATTGAAATAACCACCCATTTATTTAGGTTAGCAACACAAAAGTGCACCAAAGAATAGACTAGTGGTCCGTAGATCACATAAAACCATCAGTGTTTCATTAACTAGTTATCTGGGTTGACATTCACCAATTGAGTTCTAATAGAAAATATGAAATCCCCATCCTCCTTAAAAAGTGAAGGAATAATCAATTTCATCTAACCATAACAGAAGCATGAAAATCAACATAGCAATAACAGTAACAGTAAAACCTACCTGATCTTCTTCAGGCGCTCAAGGTCATCCCTCAGCTTCATGTCCAGAGCATTGGAGACAACCTGAGAGTACTTTCCATCCTTGTAATCCTTTTGCCTGTTAAGGAACCAGTCTGGGATCTTGAACTGCCGAGGGTTGGCCACAATGGTCATCAAGTTATCTATTTCAGCAGCAGAAAGCTCACCAGCTCTGCCATTTAAAATCAGAGCAGAATATTACAAACTCTAATCAGCATATGAAGATCATGGTTCAAACCACTAGAAGACCAAACTAACAAAACAAATAAAACCTCCTATCTTACAGAAGATACCATAGCTTGTCAATAACTCTACAACCAAAGCGATCAGTTCTGAAACAATTTAAAAACACTGAATGCAATACACCAACTTCCAGATGCATTAAAATACTACAGCATTTCAAGGCCACATTGATATTCAACAGAATTTATCAATGAAAGTGAGCCTGCGTGTGTTTTTCTAGGGAACAGCGTGCCCATCAATCTGTCTACAGCCTATATAGGTGCAAAACCAAAAATGAGCCAAATTTAACCTCCTATTAACAGAAATGACAATGAGAAAAACGTATAAATCACGTCAAAGACTGTAGGATTACAAAATGAAACCAAGTAACATAGTAAACACGCACAAATCAACTTAGAAAAATCACTCAGTACATGGGGGACTTCTCGTGAAACTTAGATAACCAAAAACATGTGCATTTCTACATATTCACCAACAAAACTATAAAATTTCGTCCCCAATAAACAGAAAACAAACATATTTATAAGTGCCTAATCAGAGGAAACTGTCATCCTGTTCACAAGAAATGACTGCAACAACCTATAATTCCGCTTAGCATAATTACAATAATGATTTCAGCATAAACAAATCATAGACGCAAAGCTAACAAGACCGCAATTCCCAAATCAATCGGAAAAAACTTGTTAACGAGAAAACAGCACGAAAAGAAACCGAGAAAAACTACAGAGCAGAACGGAGCTAACCTTTTGTTCATGTCGACATCGGCCTTTTTGCAGATGATGTTAGCGAAACGGCGACCGATACCTTTGATCGCGGTGAGAGCGAACATCACCTTTTGCTTCCCATCCACGTTGGTGTTCTGGATACGCAGAATGTGCTGGAATTCCTCATTCGCCACCAGAGCCTACACATTTTACACCACCAAAATCAAATTAGAAAAAGAAAACCGAGTCAAATCAAACGCAAGACTGGATGGAAGTGAGTCCGATCAATTGATAAGCCGCCGACTCACCATTGTTAGGGTCTTTGGAGTACTCCTCTGAGCTTTTTTTTCGTTTTTCAGCTCCTGGTTTTTTCGCTCTGAGGCAGAAGAAAGTGAAGGATGGGCACTAGGGTTTGCTTTTGAAGGCTGCTACTGAGAAGGTTTAAAAGAGAGCTGGAGTACTGTAAACCCTAGTCGTGATCGTCAAATGACCTGTTAGCCCTCCACGGTTTCCCTATATTCCTTAAATACCCTCCCATTCGGGTGAATTATTCGGTACAAGCGCAGTTCGTGGACCATTAATGCGCAATGACGTGACTACCCTCAGTATTTATCCATATTTCCTAAAGTATCCCTGATCGGATAAATTGAAACGATTGGAACTGTGGAAGCTCCTGAAATCCTTCAAGAAGTTTGTCTGAAACAAGCAAAGGTAAGCAAAAACTGCATGTCTGTCTTTTCTGCACATTATAATTTTTTCTGGGAAAATTTTGTTCTTGTAGTTGTGCAATCATTATTGGTTATAATACTTTCGATCAGCTCTTGATTTTTTTTTTTTTTTTTTTTTTTTGCGTGTACCTCTTTTGTTACCTAGTGCATGTCCAGTTGATTTTAGAATGGCAATTTCACTTGCTCTGGTATAATTTCAAATTCCAGATATGTAGAATGAAAGACTAATCATATAAATTCTTTTTTTTTTTTTTATGTGTTGAAGGTGTAAGCCTTATGGGATAGAATGATTCAGGAAGTTGGTTCTTCTGCTGCTGCATTGGTGTCTAAAGCATTGCATTTAGCTGCTCAAAAGCTTTAGGAAATTGAAGAACAATAATGGCTTCTTTAACTTCAGTAAAGATGTTGCTTCCTACTATGCCACATTCAACTGGGAGACATAAAGCTTCAGGCGAGAGTAAGTTACCTGTATGTTCTTGTATAGGCACCTCAATAAATTCTTATGTTAATGAAGAGATTATTTTAAGATGGATCATCATGATTGATTTCCAGGAAAATGCTGTTGTCCCGTATATTTGTTCAAGATATTGAACTGAAATGCCACTCTTTTGGGAATATGAGTTAATTTTGTTGATATTTTCTTCATATAGATGCTCAAATTTTGGACAGACTAAACACTGGTGTTCTATACCAAACTCATGGTGGTTATTTCCCGTCTTGGAAATCTACTAAGTATTTGCTTCCAAGTGATGCATAGGGCTCCCTATTCTGGATGATTGTCATAACACTTAGCCGTCTTCTGTGACATAACAGATCAGTTGCGCTCCAGGTGCTTCGATAGATTATCATGTGAAGGAGCATCATCTCGTCGCGAGCTTGTTTTAAGATGTGGTGGAATTTCAATAGCTTCATGTGTAATGCTGAATTGGGTATTAACACCATCACCAGCTTGGGCTGAAGAGGAATCAAATTCTCGGGAGGATAAGGATGAAGGTGTGGTCGGAGCCATAAAATCCTTGTTTGATCCCAATGAGAAAACAAAGTCTGGGAAAGTGTTGCCAAAAGCATACTTGAACTCAGCAAGAGATGTGGTCAAGACATTGCGTGAATCGCTGAAGGAAGATCCCAAGGATATGGTACAGTTCAGAAGAACTGCAGATGCAGCAAAGGAGTCTATTCGAGACTATATAAATAATTGGAAAGGGCAAAAGACAGTCATAAATGAGGTACATTCCTTTTGCCAATTGATTACGAGGAAAAGAATTGCAGAATGTGCAACACCAGGTTGATTTAGCAGCTAGATTTGTCATCGTAAAATCGATGTCCTAAAGAGAGAATCTCGAAACAAAGTTTAGAACTTTTGAAATGCAGAATTGCAGTTCTTCTTTGAGTATCCTGGCCTTAGTATTCGTTCTGAGCTCAATCGTATACGTATCATGAATATACCTATAGAGAGAGTAAACCGTTTTTACTACTTCAGTAAGAGAAAGCAAAGCAAATAGAAGTCCCTCAAAGCTCACAATCTGTTAAACATTGACAAAGTATGAAATGCCAAGCTAAGACTTTGTTATTTGACAATAATCTACTTCCTTCAAAGCAAAAGTGTGGACTGGAAGAAAGCATGTAAACTACATTACCTTGTTTACCGACTCTGCAGCCTCTGCTGATATCATATCCTTGATACTTGCAGGAATCGTATGTCATGCTTGAGAAAGCAATAAGAGCTTTGGCAAACTTTTACTCTAGAGCAGGCCCGTCTGCACCTCTGCCAGAGGAAATCAAGTCTGAGATTTTAGGTGATTTAAACACTGCGGAAGAGTTCTTGTAAAGTGAGCAACTTCCTGATTTATTTTACATAATTGTGGATGAGATGTCAAGCATGATGAGCCTTAGCTTTGTTGATTCTTTTTTCCTGCTCATATAATTTTGCAGGTGTTTTCTGTTGGTTGTAAATGTTAGGATCTGTTATACATTAATTTCCCAAAAAACTTAATTTGGTTTCCATATTGTTATAAATTAAGTTTCCAAAAACTCAGTTTGGCTGCCATATTAAGAATGCCTGCTACTAGTTGGAAAACGAATAACAAAAACTTGAAAAAAAAAAATTAATCAAGAGTCATTAATGTTTCTCTCCGCTAATCCATTGACAAAGAGCAACAAGATAGAAACTAAATTATCCCTATTTTCTGTTGGATTATGCCAAATGCCAATTCAAAATAAAGTAGTTCGCATGATAAAACTAACAAGCAAGGACGGAACAAGAGTGTCATGAAAAGCATATAACCTGGTGACAATACAAAAAACCAAAATATGATCTTTGCTACATCCCAAAGTTCTAAAGAATTCCAGGATGATACAAAACCTTACATTTTGGAGGGCTTTTCAAGTAAAGGGGGCCTCCAAACAGGATTGTTTCAGAAACCTTGTTTTAGTCCCTTGTATTGTAACACGTGATACAACATTGATTAATTTACGGAAAAAAAAATAGCTTAGTTCACAACCAAGTCTCCAACCAATCTCCAGGTCCAAAAGATCATCATCTGTGCCTTCATTGCCAATCAATGCTTGGAGAAGGAAACTGAAAAATATGAGATAACCCTCCATCTTAGCAATATTCCAGGAAGCAAGGACCATGATCCACCATTTGCCTTACTGTAAGTTCAAGTCCGTGATAGAACTCCTTTCGAGCTGCAATCAGGAAAATGTTGTTTGAGTTTTGTAAGCGTACACTTTTCCGACTTCAAACAGTTTGAAGATTTGTTTGGCTAAATAAAATAACACGCCAAGTTGTTTCGCCACCAAGGCCAAACCTCAAAACCAACACCCAACAGTGGTAACCTTAGATTTTGTCATATAGATTCATTTATCACACTCTTAAACATTCCACTAATTTGCTCAAGAAGAATCATTCAAGTTCTACTTCAGTAATTTATAAGTTTCTCTAACCAGCAAGTTGCTCAAGAAAAATCAACATTATCTACCCACTTTCTCATTATGGTTGGCAAATAAAGTCTACAATTTTTAGGTACATGAAGGAATATCCATACAAGTAACTGTTCACTTGAAACCATGATAATTTCCTAACAGTGATGATACTTCCCATCCATGTCCGGTTTTTAAGTTTTCCACCTATGATCTAAGCGATGGAGATAGTTGAAGATCCAAAGGCTGGAAAAGAAAAATCAGATAATTCTTTAAACAATAACAATTCCTAACCTTGGCACACTTCCATGACGACGTGAATCACATTCTGTTGCTTGCCTAAGAGCTCTTGCGAAAGCCTTGAATGTTGCCTCGATGATATGATGAGAATTTTTTCCAGCAAGCTGTTTCCATGCAAATTTATAGGTTAAGGTTCAGGACGTCAATAGATATCCAAGCTGAAAATCATAGTACTAAAATTCCCTGATGATATGATGAGAATTTTTTCCAGCAAGCTGTTTCCATGCAAATCATGGGTTAAAGATTCAATATGTGAATAGATAACCAAGCTGAAAATCATAGTCCTAAAATTATATCTGCAGATTATATAAAGTAACATCACATGATAGGCCATTTCTGAACAAAATAATAAAACAGGCACAACTACATGAACAGTGGACAGTTGTGAAATTAGCAATCAAAGAAAGAATATCTCTTTAAATAAAACTGCCTAATTACTATCAAAGTTTCCCCAGCAAGAAAATATTCAGTGATCTTACCTGCCGAATATGTAATGTCATTCCAGAGGTATTGACCAATGATTGAAAGAAGTGCTCCACCAGCTAGGACCAAACAATTCCATTCTTGAATTAGAATATCATACAAGTGGAGAGAAGAATATCATATAAGTGGAGACATGTTCAATAGAAAAATAAGGACACAGAATCTAACATCGCATACTAAAACTTGGGCCATAACGTGAAGAGTAGTTGTATAAACCACTATTTGATGCCAATACGAAAAGCAAGCTCCAAAAAGTGATCATATTGACAGAAGAACAGTACACTCTACTCAAGAAACAATTATGAAGACAAACACACACACACATATAAAAATACAACAGCCTAGATCAAAATCTTATACTGATATGACACTGTAAATTAAATATGTAAAGAATACCAGCCCACACATCAGAGCCAACAACTTGAGCAGACTACCTGAGTGTCATAAGTTCCAACTCTCTCAGTAGGTATCTGTAGATCAAAACTCAGATGCGGCCTCCCAGATAAGTCCTGCAATAGAATCACAAATTTACAATAGGTTAATTACATATAACAAAACATCGAACAGGAGCAAAAGTAAACAATGCTGAGGTCAGCAACAGCACTCAACGGAAACCAGTACTTCTAGGTCAGTAAAAAATTACTTTATAGACATGCCACTGTCTCTACCTAAGTTTATGGGAGCGGTCTATTTGAAGAGCAAGGGCCTGGGTCGGCGTTGTTTAACAGGAATAACTCTGCTCATGTCAACTATGTTTTAATATTTGCGCATAACACAAATTGGAAATATAGCTCATTTTTCTTATCTGGCAAGAGCTGAAAGTCACATTATGCGAGAAGGCTATATCGCTTCTGCACTTTTCAACCGCTATTTCCTTATTAACGTTAGACATTTCTTCCACCCAGAATAAACTCTTTACTCAACTTGTTTTCACTACTTAAGTTGAATGAAAATTCACCAATTCAAGGTGGATGTTCAATTCATTTAATCTTCATTGAATAACACAAGTTATTCGACTATAATACTATAAGCAGGCAAGAATTCAGTTTCATAAGAAATCTCAAATGTGCTTTAGGCTTCATGTCGACAAGTGATAATCGACCACAGTGTTTCACTTGGATGTAAATCATTCACATCAACATCAAGTCCAGATTTTTCTTCATGTCAAAATAGGTATCCTGCTAAGGTATCCTTTATATAGATAAGGATACAATAAATTGAAGCATATCGTATTGAGTGTGTCGGTTATTTCTAATACATCGAAGTAAGATGAACTCAGACTCGCTCAATACATCATAAAGAAAGAAAACAAGATTTAGACATTCCAGGTATCATACCAGTGCAACATGTATAAGTGCTTCATCCAGTGGAGCAGAGAAGTCACCAAACCGGTTGATTCCTTTTCTATCACCCAGTGCTTGCAGCAAAGCCTGAATGAGCACAATAAGTACAAGATCTCCATTTCAGTTAAACTAAACCCAAAAAGCAAGTGCAATCTCACATGCACGGAACGAACGAAAGGACCATCGCTGGAATGCCACTTAGAAAACAAAACACTCATTTTACTCAACATATCATATTGTGGTATGGTAAAACCAATTCTCAACTGACTAATTTAGTAACACAGAGACAGCAGGTAAATAAATCATTGACACAATTCAATCAAACAAAGAGCATATAAAGCTTAATGCAATTCAGCTACCTGAGACTAAACACAGAAAGAATTTTTAATACAGAAACTTGGATGCTTACTGTTCCAAGTGCAAGGGCGACATCTTCATTGGTATGATGATCATCAATATGATAATCTCCAGTAGCCTTTACATGCACGTCAAATAGCCCATGTGAAGCAAGTTGCTAAAAGGAAGGCACAAAAATACATCATCAGGACTGCAGCAGGCTGAGAAATATACCTATTGTCCATTCAAAGCAGTCTTCGGCTACATGTGAGTTCATACACAATGATGAATTACAGTTGACAGAGAGAATACTTTATCACAAAAGGTTATTGAAAAAGCCCTCCTTTGCTACTTTTCTTTTGTGATTTTCGTTCCTTTCCACATCACCTCTTTATAAATTACATAAACTACATAAACAGTTCATTTCGCAGATTTTAGGAAAACTAATTAAATATAAATCGTCAAGCATTACTAAATTTCAAAAAACAGCAATTTGTCCTCGAAGACAGATGCTCTTACATTTCTATTGTACCATGTATGGAACGAATGAAACTTTTGAAATTGTGAATTTGTCAAAGTTATAAACCTATTCTAAAAGCATTTTAAACATACCTTCAATAAACTCGTCTACGACAGGCTACGTTTTCCAACTTTTGCAGAAAACACAACTAAAAGATTAAAGGTTTATACTAATAAAGAGGGAAATTTTGACTTTTTTAATTCAAAAAATAGTACATAAAGAAAAAAGAAAGACTCACATCCAACATATGATCAAGAAAGGGAATTCCAGTGGCATTCTCAGCTACACCATTACCGTCCAAGTTCACTTTAATAAATACATTAGTCTCTTTCGTCACCCTCTTCACTTCCCCAACTCTACCTAAAATCAAAACATCAGAATCAAAATCTGCAAAAAAGAAAAAAAAAAAAAAAAAGCGGCTTAAAGGAATTTGTAGCAAATACCCATTTGAGAAGAAGTTAGGGGGGATCCATTTTCATTTTCAGAAGCCTGAGTAATTATTCTGGGTGGGTCCATTGAAAGAGGAGTAAAGGGTCTGTTTTTGATGGGGTGGCAAGGGGATTTGTAGAAAATTGAGAAAATTTGGGTTGGGAAGGAAATAAAAGCTGGTTTTGATAGATTGATCCTTGTGGCTTTGGGTTGTTGAAGATGAGAGGATGACGATGCAGACGGAGAGCGTACGAGGTAGCGACGAGGAGCAACCGAAAGCTCCATGCGACACACGATCAGAGCAGACTGCAGAGCTTCTGCGCGTCTTCGTATGTTCGCAAGTGGTGATAGCCTACGAAAGGCGTGCTAGAGTTGAAATAAAAACGTTCCCCTAAACTCAAAAAAAGAGACCGACGGCGAAGGAGCGAGGCACGATTTCAAGGCAAAATCGACTCTTGCTTCCTTGTACGAGTATAATGTAAACCAAACATCTCCAAATCAATCATTATTCAGAAAAAAGAAAAATAAAAGAAACAAAAATCCAAACATTACTATCATGTCAATGTAGCATGAATTTGCAAGCTTCCGAATCTTTGTATTTGGAGAAAAGGAGATTCGTTAATTAAAATATGATACTCCCGTTACATAATCTTATATTTGAAAAGATCATTATTATTTTCTTGAATATCGAATAACCTATGATATTACACTAAAATTCTTATCTTAAATATCGAATAACCTTGATCACATTACACTATATTAGAAGTTTAGAATTCGTTTGCTCTGATCTTTTGAGAGAGATTAAGCTAAATTTTTGGCCCTTTCATTTCTTGAATTTCAGGGGACAGGCTTCTGTAGCGTTAAGGACAAAACTCTCGCACAGTCGGCATGTTAACTCTTTTTTTGTACCCATCTATGAACCGTGCGAGGTCTTGCATTCCATTGCCAAATGACACAAGAATGTTGCCTACACAGCTTAACTGGGCAGCAGTTCATAAAGACGGGACTAGCCAGCACAGCAGGATTCAAGCGTTTCAAAGATATCAACCGAGGTGTAAACTTTGTCAGCTGCAGAAATTTCACAAAGTTCAAAGAATTGGTAATGCAAGAATCAACTCTCCGAAAAAATCATTGTTGTTAACCCGCATAAAGTATATCTAACAAAAGATTTAACAGGAGTAGAGAATATATAAGCTCCAAGCGAGGGTCATTTTCTCTCGCTTAAATTACAACTGAGCCACCTACTCCACCGGTCAATCTTCAAGTTTTCTGACTAAATTGCACTCCACTTGATTCACTGCTTGCAGTAGTAGGCATCATTGAATGCAAAATTAATGGCTGCTTTCATCGTGAGAATTAAAGCAGCGAGAAACTAAACGATATTCTGATTAAATTACCGTTAAATGATGGAATACAAGGTCTCCAATACTCGGAAAATGGCAACCCAAATACAGCTATATACATTAGGCAAATCTAAGAAAATATTCACCAGTTGAGTCAGCAGAGTTTGACAAAATTTGTTGCCCAGCTCAGGCAACTTCCTTTCCAACTTTTTGTTTGTTCGATCGGAGGAACTGCAGCTGGATGACTTCTGAGAACATACGGAGCAAATAACCAAGAGCATCAGCCATGTTAACATATAATCTGGAGCAACCGAGTCCAAGTGTCTTCCAACAGATGACATACGTGGCAAGTCGATCGCCCTGTTCTTGAACCATTTTTACCCAGTCCTCGCCCATGATCAACTCTTGTCGAAGAGGTCACAGCACCTTAGCCTATTCCCTAGGATAAAGAAAGTTGTTTCCAAAATGGCATAATATCTTGGTCCAATTTACAATTCCGAATATAAAATTTACACCTAAATAGACTAGAACCTAGGACTGTCTTAACAATCATATGCAGGATATCCTCATCACTCGACTCTTGAATTTTGCACCAAAGATACACAAGAACCAAGATCTGTATCAGCACAATCAAGGACTCTCCTACCCTTCTATGAGTCATCCAACTTGTGTGCTCCATCAAATCGATCTCTGGTTTCAGACACCTCAAGAACTCTGGCACCAGAAGAATCAGAAAGAGGACAACCACCAACTCCTCCTGCATTTACCTCACACCCATGTTCCAATTCACTTGAACAATGGACTTCTTTATCTGGAAGAGGAACTTCTGCTTCAGAATGAGATTCTGAAGCAACAAAGAGTCCATTCTCTATTCCTGAAGTGTTCTTATGAACAAAACTAACCTCAGCAGTGACTTCAGCACCTGTGCGTCGAGAAGCAGAATCAGAACTATGACCCTCTTCTTCCCTTTCAAATTCATTTCCCGAAGAGCCTTGATTCAAGGAATCAGAAGCATTTTCACAATGACGACCTTTTACATCAGTTCTAGCATCATTGTTAGCATCACTACCTGCAGAGGTTCCTTTGTCACAACCAACAGAATCAATTTTCAGATTGCTTGCTGTTTTAGCATCACCAACAATTTTCAAGGACGCCTGTGACTCGCTTTCATCATCCATTGTGACTGGCTGATTCAAGTCTGAGTTAAATCGCAATATTAGATCTTCACCATTAATATGCTGAGGATCAGATGCAAAATTCTGTTTGCTACAAGACATTTCTTTACCATTCTGTGAAGATGTTTCTGGGAAAAATCTGGGTACAGTTTCAACAGTAACACATTTCATCACAGCTTCAGGAACAGCACCATCAGAACCTTTTCCAAAGGCATCTCCATTACCCAGGTCTTGCACAACTTCTGTACCAGAAGAAGATGCTGAAGGGGTATTTCTTACTTTGTGGTTCTGAATGCAATTTGCATCACTATTATGGACAGTAGCAATGGAAACAGGACTGTGGTTTTCATCTGCATCCTCAACCATGTTTTCTGATGTTTTACACCGAAAATCAAGAAGAGAACCTGATGAAGAAAATTGTGCATCCACTTTATGTGCATCACTCACTAAACCATTTACAGAGGATGGAGTGTCAGGTTTGGCTGGAAAATTCAAAATAGAGCTTTCAATCACAAGAGGGTCAGTGGCTACACCAGAGCGAGAACTGCTCTTGCTGGAAGATTCTACGCCATCCTTAACAAGCTGAGATTCTCCGATATCCTTACTAGAGATTTGGATATCAGATTCATTAGCAGTCTCTGAAGCACCAGCTACGGTTCCATCATTTGAAGGTATAGCAGAAGCTGAAAACAGAGGAATAGTCTCAGCTTTGTCACTGACATTATTTTTATGGTCTGATCCACCCCTAGAGCCACTGTTCATCTCCTGATTCTGGAGGGACTCAATGTCAGGTTTTTCCGCTGAAGCAGGCAGCTGAGGCAAATTGTCTTTCGAATCAAAACCTTTCAGACCTGAGGTAGAAATATCAATCAAGACAAACTTTCTTTACAAGAAAAAAAAGGTATCAGAAAAACACAAGGAAAGCAGACATATTAATCAAGTTACCGCCAGGAATTCCTTGCTTGAACAGTTGCTTCTGCAACATATCTGTCCCTGGAAACACCAACATGTTGATTGACTTCGTCTCCTTCTTGTCTGGATCTTCAAGTTGTTTGAAACCGAAAACTACAGTCCATGTATGCATATGCTCAGAAATTGCAGGAATTATCAATTTTTCGACTTTGAGAGAGCAAAGGACCTGAATATGTAATGATGACAACTACATGATTAGTCCATCTAAGAAACCAAAATAAAAATCAATTATAATTAAAATAAAAAGGTAAATAAACAGTTGAGACATAATTATCAGCCTCAATTGTCCATGCTGACACGTATTCAGAATTACTTCAAGCAGCATGGCATAGTTGCATTGCTTCCCACAGCAGGCAAGGCACACAATACATTTACAACACTAACAAGCACATGCATTCACGTCATGCATCTAATTTAAAGACGAAACTTTTTGATCTGGATATATTGCTGAAGGATGAACAACTCATCCTCCTCAGATAGGACAAAGAACACGTGGCAGACTTTATGATGGCTGACATGTCCCCACTCCTTACACTATACATTTAATGAATCCACATCAAGCACCAGGATAGATGTCCCATCAAACAACCCAGCCACACATCTAAACAAACAAATAAGAATAACAAACAAAGCAAACTTAAATCTCCCTGCCCAACCGTCAGGGTTAAGGATTCTTATTCTTATGGCAGTGAAGGATGATAGATTATCAGATCCTAAAAAACTGAAAGAGAAGATAATAAGCAGAAGGATATATCACAAAAGGTCATCAAATTTGAGGACTTGACAGATAATGCTGTACTGGCTCAGCACAAAAGAAAAAATCCAACAGATCTTTTTCAACTAAAAAGCATAAAATAGAATTAGCAGCACTCATACCGATTCAATTGCAGACAATAGCCGTCGGCACATTCCTTGGCGCCTATATATGTTGCGAGTTCCAATAAAAGGCATCTCTGCTAATTGTAGTCCATGGATCCTAGCAAAAGGATGAGCAGCTGAATAATTAGAATAACTTCAAATGTGGATAATACACACAGAAAGCAAACATGGATGCAAGAACACAATCTGAACTACAGCCACACATCACTGATTAGATCACCATAAAGGTTGCCTACCTAATTAATTTATCAAAACATGTGACAAGGCGTTAACCTTGATAATTTTTCACCAAATTTAAAAAGCAGGGCCCATAACAGTACTAACAATGATGTTACCCATGGTTACTGCCAACACAAATGCATAGCAAATGTAGTAGACTAATCTTTCAAAAAGCAACCCTGATTGGTTAATAAAAAAACAGCTAATTGAATAGTGCAAAGAACAATATTAATAGTTCAAAACCCGGAAAGTTACCAACAACTAAATTCCCAAAGGTGTGTCAGAAAAAATTTCAACTTTCAACAGTGTGCTGGCCAATTAAGCGACCAAAAAAAAAAGAAGGTTCCATTCAGAAAAGGACAAAATTAAGATTTGTTATAAGAAAGGTTATAAGAAAGATCACATGAACACCTTCAACATTAACATCTTACGAAAAAGGTGTGATTGCCATTTTTTACTTGATAATAGAAGAAATTGACAAACAATTTTCTGCAGACCGCTAATGTTGATATCATTAGTCATTTACCTGATAGATGCTGCAGAAATTATTTCATCACCCCTCTCCAAAACCACTGTGAAGAAGCCATGATAATTCAACCGACTAAAGTTTGCTCTACAGAGAAAAAATAAAGGAAGCATAAGGAAACTGATCCCAAAGATACAATCAAATCTGCATGCATAATTAGCTGAATCGAGAGGGGGAGAATAATGTAGAAAGGCATGATCATGTTTATATGGGTACACCACACAAAAGGCACCAGAGAATGAATGACAGGGTGGA